TGGGGGCCAATCCCTTTGGGGTTTGGATCATGGATGGGGGCCAATCCTTTTGGGGTTTGGACCATGGATTGGGACTGAGCCCTTTGGGGTTTGGACCATAGATGGGGGTGGTTCAGGCCCTATTTGGGGAGGACAGTTCCCCCTCCATCAACCCCAGCTGAGCTGGGTGAGGCTGTTGAAGATTTGGGGCTGCTGGTGCTGGGGAAGGGACACCAACCCTCACCCTCACCCTGTCCCCACAGCTCTGACCAGCTTCGAGGTGGTCATACAGTATGGCCTGGCCACCCCAGAGGGACTGGCCGTGGACTGGATCGCTGGCAACATCTACTGGGTGGAGAGCAACCTGGACCAGATCGAGGTGGCCAAGCTGGAYGGCACCATGAGGACCACGCTGCTGGCTGGGGACATCGAGCACCCCCGCGCCATCGCCCTCGACCCTCGCTATGGGTGAGGCAGCAGGGGACAGGGACACGCCAACACCTGTGGGGTCTGGCAGGGTGAGGAGATCACGGGTTTCTCTCCTTGCTGACTGTCCCTCCTGGCAGGATTTTGTTCTGGACGGACTGGGACGCCAGCCTGCCCCGCATTGAGGCCGCCTCCATGAGCGGCGCGGGCCGACGCACCATCCACAAGGAGACGGGCTCGGGAGGGTGGCCCAACGGGCTCACCGTGGACTACCTGGAGAAGAGGATCCTCTGGATTGATGCCAGGTAAGGGCCAGGACACCTTTCTGTTTCTCCTCCGTTTGTCCCAGTCGGGATCTCCCCCTCACTTGTTGTGCTGGGAGCGAGAAGCCTTCACTCCACGGGGTTTGTGTCTCCAACACGTGCAAGCCCTTACTCTGGGTTTTCTCCTCTGTGGATCCCTGGTGTAAATCAGCATCCGTCCCATAGCTGTGGGTTGGTTTGCTGTCGGGCTAAAGACCCCGTGGTGCCCCCTCCCCACCTCCCCTCACCCTCGTTTTCCCCCGGCACAGGTCGGATGCCATTTACTCAGCGCTGTACGACGGCACGGGGCACATCGAGGTGCTGCGGGGCCACGAGTACCTGTCCCACCCCTTTGCTGTCACCCTGTACGGGGGTGAGGTGTACTGGACCGACTGGCGCACCAACACCTTGGCCAAAGCCAACAAGTGGACAGGGCACAACGTGACCGTGGTGCAGAGGACCAACACGCAGCCYTTCGACCTGCAGGTGTATCACCCCTCCCGGCAGCCCCTGGGTGAGTGTTGGTGTGGGGACAGGGTTGGGGGGATTTTAGGGGTGATTTTGGCACTCGGTCTGTGCCCACACCCGCTTGGAGCAGCAGGTGGGTGCTGCTCTCATGCCCGTGGCTGTCCCTTTGCCCCTGTTGGGTGATGGGGGTGATGGTGTGACCTCCTCGATGGGGCTGGCAGGGTTTGGGGGGCTCCCAGGTGTTGGGACATCGCTGAGTCCTGTCCCCCCCTCTTTTGCAGCTCCTAATCCCTGCGAAGCCAACGGGGGCAAAGGGCCGTGTTCCCACCTCTGCCTCATCAACTACAACCGCACCTTGTCCTGTGCCTGCCCACACCTCATGAAGCTGGACAAGGACAACACCACCTGCTATGGTAGGGGTCAGCCTGGGGGGCTGGAGGGGATGACCAGGYGCTCCAGAGCCGAGATCCCACTGCCACCCTTCAATCCTGGCAGAGTTTAAGAAGTTCCTGCTGTACGCGCGGCAGATGGAGATCCGGGGCGTGGACATCGACAACCCTTACTACAACTACATCATCTCCTTCACCGTGCCCGACATCGACAACGTCACCGTGGTGGACTACGACGCTCTGGAGCAGCGCATTTACTGGTCAGATGTCCGCACCCAGACCATCAAGAGAGCCTTCATCAATGGCACCGGCGTGGAGACCGTCGTCTCTGCAGGTGGGTGTGGGGGAGCTGGGACTTCCAGCCCTCCAGAGCCTTCATCTCTGTGAGATCAGCCCTTCCTCTTCATCTAAACACCATTCAGCCCTGTCCTCACTGCTCACCAGCTCCCGTCTCCATTCCCTTGCAGACCTGCCCAACGCTCACGGCCTCTCCGTGGACTGGGTTTCCAGAAAYCTCTTCTGGACCAGCTACGACGCCAACAAGAAGCAGATCAATGTGGCCCGGCTGGAYGGCTCCTTCAAGAACGCCGTGATCCAGGGGCTGGACAAGCCCCACTGCCTGGTGGTACACCCGCTCCGGGGGTGAGTCTGGTGGGGTGGGGAGAAGGTGTGTGCAGGCACGGGTGTGTGTGTGTGATGGTGCATACGTGTGATGGGGGAGAGGACACGTGTCAGAATGTACAAGGTGTGTCCAGGAGATGGGGAGTGTGCTGTGTATCCATACACACATGTACAGTATGTGACAGTGCACATATGTGATGGGGGAGAGGACAGGTGCTGTCCCATGTGTCGGCGTGTACAAGGTGTGTGCCATGAGATGGGAGTGTGCCGTGTGTCTGTACATGTGTGTGTGTGTCATGGTGCACATGTGTGATGGGGGAGAGGACAGGTGCTGTCCCATGTGTCATCATGTATGAGGCGTGTGCCAGGAGATGGGAGTGTGCCATGTGTCTGTACATGTGTGTGCGTGTGATAGGGAGAGGACAGGTGCTGTCCCATGTGTCAGCATGTACAAGATATGTGACAGGACATGGGGAGTGTGCCGTGTGTCCGTACACGGGCTGTGATAAGCGTGCACCCACCAGCGTGTGCCAATCCAGGGGTTCATGGGGCTTTGRCAGCCCCCCAAGCCCCCTCCTGGGTGGGGACAAGCGGCTGTGCAGGGCTGGGAGGGTGCAGGGGGTGCTGTCACCGTGTCCCCTCACCCATTGTCCCCTCCCCTTGCAGGAAGCTGTACTGGACAGACGGGGACAACATCAGCGTGGCCAACATGGACGGCAGCAACCGCACGCTGCTCTTCACCAACCAGAAGGGACCCGTTGGTATGGACCCCTCTGTGTCCCCCAGGGCCCCACACCTCCCCTTGCTGTCCTGCAGAGCCCTGTGCTGGGTCACCCTGACCTCACCTGCCTGCTTCTCCATGCTTTCCCTTCCCATCCCATCCCGTAAATCCCATCCCGTAAATCCCATCCCATCCCACCCCATCCCATCCCCTAAATCCCACTCCATCCCATAAATCCCACACCATCCCAAAAATCCCATCCCATAAATCCCATCCCATGGATCTCATCCCCTAAATCCCACCTCATCCCATCCCATCCTGCAAATCCCGTCCCATAAATCCTACCCCATCCCATCTCATCCCATCCCATAAATCCCATCCCATGGACCCCATCCCATCCCACCCCACCTGCTCCGTGACGGTCCCCACGCGCCACCGGCGCAGTGACATTCCCGTCCTTCCCAGGCCTGGCCATCGACTACCCCGAGAGCAAACTCTACTGGATCAGCTCTGGCAACGGCACCATCAACAGGTGTGACCTGGACGGCAGCAACCTGGAGGTCATCGAGTCCGTGCGGGGCCAGCTGAGCAAAGCCACCGCCCTGGCCATCATGGGTGAGGGCTGGCAAAAAGGGGGACACCTTTTTGACCCTTCCCCGACTCTCCTGGCAGGGTTGGGAGGGGATGAGGAGCACTGACCCTAAGTCCTGCCTTGTCCCACCAGGGGACAAGCTGTGGTGGGCTGACCAGGCCTCGGAGAGGATGGGAACCTGCAACAAAAAAGATGGCACGGAGGTGACGGTGCTGAGGAACAGCACCACGCTGGTGATGCACATGAAGGTGTACGACGAGAGCATCCAGCAGGGTGAGCGTGGGCTCCTGGGGCTGCTTCGTGGTGGCCACGTGGCCCAAGCCTGGTTCTCGTCCTCGTGCCAGGTCCATGCTGGCTGGTGCAGGGCACCCACACTTCGTGCTCCAGCCCTGGTGGGTGTGCCCTGGTACCCCACAACCCCTCACCCCTTTTTCTGTGCCGCAGCTGGGACCAATCCTTGCAGCCAGAACAACGGGGACTGCTCTCAGCTCTGCCTCCCCACCTCGGAGAGCTCCCGCTCCTGCATGTGCACGGCGGGCTACAGCCTCAAGAGTGGCCAGCAGTCCTGTGAAGGTGCGTGCCTGTCCCCTGTGCCCTCCCCTGAGCCACCCCTGGGAGCAGTGAGACCCCGTGGCCGCTCTGGCCATGCCTGTGGTCATCCTGGCTGGTGACCCCTCGCTCGGGCTCATCCCCACTGCCCTGTGCCCCATGTCACTGAGGGGGGACCAGAGGGACACTGTGGGGTTTGGAGGGCTTGTGGGCTCAGGTGGCAGCCGGACCTTTGTGTGGGCTGTCCCTAATGAGCATGGGGGCACTGCCAGGACACTGAGGGAGAAGGGAATGGGACAGCACCATGGGACCACCCCCCAAGGCAAAGTGGGACCCTCCCTATGGTCAGTGGGTTTGGGGTGGGACCCTCAATATGGGCAGCGGGTTTGGCGTGGGACCCCCCCAAGATGAGATGGGACCCTCACGGTGGTCAGCAGGTTTGGGGTGCGACCCTCGCTGTGGTCAGTGGGTTTGGGGTGCGACCCTCACTGTGGTCAGCGGGTTTGGGGTGCGACCCTCGCTGTGGTCAGCGGGTTTGGGGTGCGACCCTCGCTGTGGTCAGCAGGTTTGGGGTGGGACCCTCGCTGTGGTTAGCGGGTTTTGCTCGCCGGGAGCAGGGCCGGGCACGGCGCTGGCTCTGCAGATCCCCCGTCCCCACTGCATCCTCCATCGTCCCCCTGGGCACTGCCAGGGCCTCTCAAAGGCTGTTTGTGTGCAAAATGTTCCGGGCGGTTTGGGGAGGGTTGGCAGAGCTCTGCACCATCTGGGTCAGGGCAGGGGCTGAATAACAAGTGCTGCCCTGACCCAGATGCGCCGGGAGCCTTTGCCAGCACGAGGAGGGGGCGGTGGGCAGTGGGAAAGGGCCTTGCTCGTGCCCTCCTGGAGCAGGGCAGGACCCTGGAACAGGCTGTGCCGGGGGTGGCAGACCCCAGGGAGGTCCAGATTGGGCCCTGCCAGGCTCCTGCTCCTCTCTTGTCACCGTTTTCCCCGGTGGAGGGACAGCCTGTGGGTTCTGGGATGGGTGTGACTGTCCCCATATCTGTCRCAGGTGTCGGCTCCTTCCTCCTGTACTCGGTGCACGAGGGGATTCGGGGCATCCCCCTGGACCCCAATGACAAGTCAGACGCTCTGGTGCCGGTGTCGGGGACCTCSCTGGCTGTGGGAATCGACTTCCATGCAGGTGATGTGGGGCTGGGAACAGCACTGGGGGCTGGGAATGGGACAGGGGGCAGACAGACATCACYAGACYCCGCTTTGGCAGYGTTTTGTTGTGAAACACCCCRGTGAGGGAGGATTTCAGGGCCCTGRGGTGCTGGTTTTTRTCATTCTGGAGTGAYCAGAGATGGTCACTGACACCTCYCSTKCTGCCTCTTTGTCYCTCTCAGAGAACGACACRATTTACTGGGTGGACATGGGCCTGAGCACCATCAGCCGAGCCAAGAGGGACCAGACRTGGCGTGAGGACGTGGTGACCAACGGCATTGGCCGTGTGGAGGGCATCGCYGTGGACTGGATCGCTGGTGGGATGGGGCCCTGGAGCCGGGGGGCAGCGGGGCAGTGGGGTTTTTGGGGGGGCTGACCGTCCCCTCTTGCAGGAAACATCTACTGGACGGACCAGGGCTTCGATGTCATCGAGGTGGCCAGGCTGAACGGATCCTTCCGCTACGTGGTCATCTCGCAGGGGCTGGACAAGCCACGGGCCATCACGGTCCATCCGGAGAAGGGGTGAGACACCGCCCCAGAGAGGGGCATCAGCTGGGGGGTGGGCACAGAGCAAGACCCCCGCACCTCCTGGCAGAGCAGGGAGGGAGGGAGCACAGCAGGGAAGCGCTTGCAGGTCTCCTGCCACACCAAACCCTGGATTTGACCCTCCTTTCACTGATGGGAGCCCCTTGGGACTTGGTGGGTGCCAGCACCTCATGAAATCCAAGYGGAGCCTCCCCAGACTGGCTCCAGCTCTGGACAGAGCACCAGGGAGGGGAGAGGTGTTTGGATCCGGGGAGGGATGGAGATGGAGGGGATTTGGTGCCAGATCTGTGAGCAGGCAGGGTCTGCACTGAGACCCCAGCGTGAGGGGATGAACGGGGTGGTGTTTGTCCTTTCCTCAAATGACCAAAGRGCCCCAGGATGTGGCTCCTGGTGGTGTGTCTGCGGTGACATCCCTGCTGTCCCCTCAGGTATCTGTTCTGGACAGAGTGGGGGCAGTACCCCCGCATCGAGCGCTCGCGCCTGGACGGGACCGAGCGGATGGTGCTGGTCAACGTCAGCATCAGCTGGCCCAACGGGATTTCCGTGGACTACGAGGTACGGTCAGCCCCTGGGAGGATGGCACCAGTCCCGAGGTGTGGCTGGTGGGGACATGATTGCCCTCCCCAGAGTCTCAGGAGGGTTGTTCAGGGTGATCTGAACCCCTGGACATCCTTCCAGAGGTGCAGAGGGTTCTGCAGCGCTGTCCCCACGCCAACTGGGATGTTCTCTCRTCCCCACAGGATGGGAAGCTGTACTGGTGCGATGCCCGGACGGACAAGATCGAGCGGATCGACCTGGAGACGGGCGAGAACCGCGAGGTCGTCCTGTCCAGCAACAACATGGACATGTTCTCCGTCTCAGTCTTCGAGGAGTACATTTATTGGAGCGACAGGTGCGGTGCCAGGGGGGCTGTGCAGAGGGTGGGGCGAGCTGGTGGGTGCTGTGGCAAGTGGGGAAGGGTCTGTGACTCTGTCYTTCCTCAGGACTCACGCCAACGGCTCCATCAAAAGAGGCAACAAGGACAACGCCACCGAGTCSGTGTCCCTGCGCACCGGGATCGGCGTGCAGCTCAAGGACATCAAAGTCTTCAACCGGGCACGACAGAAGGGTGGGTCTGAGTGTGGGGGGCAGCTCTTCACGTGGAGAATGGGGATGGAAACAAATGGATCTCTGTGTTCCCATCGGTGGTCCGAGCCCCTTCCTTCCTGCGGGAACGCTGAGAGATGAAAAGTGGCCAAAGGGGTGAATTGTGCCCAGTCTGAGAGTGGCCAAGTGGGCACATTGTGCCCAGTCCGAAAGTGGCCAAGCGGGTTCATACTGCCCAGTCCGAAAGTGGCCAAAGGGGTGCATTCTTGCCCACTCTGAAAATGACCAAGCAGGTGCATACTGCCCACTCCAAAAACGGCCAAGAAGGTGCATCGTGCCCAGTCCGAAAGTGGCTGAGCAAGTGTATCGTGTCCAGTCCGAGAGTGGCCAAGTGGGTTCA